AGCACAAGAAAGACTGGGCTGCAAAATTCTGCTCCAGTACCTGTTGTGTCAAGAAGTTCTAGCAGCTAATCTATCCTTTCTTCTCCTGAAAGTGTCTTCAGTGAAAATATTGTGGCTTCTGGACTTTAACTGGTGCTCAGCTGTAAAGTTTCATTTTGAAAACTGTGTGTCTTATACCATACCTCTCATGAACTGTTAAAACAGATCTTTCTGGCAGTGACTCACAATGTATAGATGAAGAAAATATTACCTATGGTGTGACAAGTTGAGAATCTGCCCAGGTGGAAGGACAGAGCATGACAAAAAATAAAACTGAATTGGAGGGTCAGTTCCAGTAGTGCCATTTGGATTGATTTGAACAAATGTTTGGGAGGCATCCTGTTATAATGTCCTGAGGGCTTCCAGATCAGTTGGCAGTCTCTGACTTCCAGGATATGAGCTTCCCTTCCAGGATTTTCTGTAGAAAAACGAAACGGGAGTTTCTTGTATCTGAAGAGAACCATGTGTTCCATGAGTGCTTGTAGAAGACCTAGTCAAGCTGTCAGTGAAACAGAAGCAAGGACATCTGCCTTTCAGAAGAGTGTTCTTAGCTCCAGAGTCTAGGTCTTTATAAGGATGGCGTAACTTTGCTACTTGTCCAGAAAGTTGCAGAACAGAAGCATTAAAAGCACTGTAGGTAATATTCTGAATAGGTCTCTGAGGATGCTGATTGTCTCCTTCTGTCCCATCTTTGGGAAATGGTTTTGATTCCTGTGTTGAGAAATGAAGTAGACATATTTCCTTCAGTTTCAGTGTAATACGAGGCCGTGCTGTTGTCTTTTTTTTGGGGTGGGGTGGGGGGGGCGGGCAGGGATCAGTCTCTGCAGAAGTTGAAACAAACAGGCCTTTTATTTCTCTGGGACCAGTAAAAAAGGCGCTAGCATTTTTCTGAAGGAAAGTAATTTTGCTGTATACGTTTCCTTTAGAAAGCGATCAAGAACTGATGAGATCAAGCTTTTTGGTTTCAAAAGGGAATTAACAGTGAATGCAGACCATAAAAAATGATGAATATGCAGTTTTCAGTGATTTGGGAGATTTGCTGATTGAAACAAGCTCATGTGAATCACTAGGTTTTTAAAAAAAAACAGTCCATAAAAACTGCACTGTAGTCTGCTTTGTTTGGATACTAAGGAATCTGGAAACTATTGTAAAAGTCAAAAGATTTCCCTCCCCACCCCCTTCCAGTATTACTGTGTATTTTTCTCCCATCAGTTCATTGCTGATCTGCACTGGTTGTCTGTCATATATAACAGTGTTCCAGTATGAATTTTAGCTGTGTAACTATTTTGACCAAAACTTCCATGGTCAACTGCCTTTATGCAGAGGAATAGAAAACAGCATAGAGTGACTCCTTTGTGCTTTGCAACAAAATTTTTTTATTTATAGTAATGACCGCTTGTTGTCATATTATTTTCCCAATAGCGTGAGTCCAGCTTATTTGAGCTTTGTGTATTGTAATTGCTGAGTAGTAATACTATGTTCAACAGCATGTTTTAATATTATGTTTGGCTTAGTTTTGGTAATGTGTTACTACATGCAAAGGAATATCCGCAGTATTTTTATCAAGTGAAACAGCCTATTTTCTCCATTTCCCCTTATCAGGTGTATATATTTCATTCTTTCTGTGATTCCACCCCCCCCTTCATGTCATAAGACAGCATAAAATTCTCCCTTTCCCTGTATCTCTTCAAGTGACCAAGTTCTAATTTACATATGTATTTTCTGAGTGGAGACAAAATGAATCCTGTTCAATACAAATGACTTGTCAGTGATAATTGTCTTCCGCCTTCTCAGGCATAGATACTCTTGGCCCTGCCCTTTATGGTATTCCCATCAATGATGAGCAAGCATGCCACTAGCCTTACATTTAGAGCAAGTCAAGCAGCCGAAATAATGAAGCAGCTTTGTCCCTAGCTTCAACACTGAGCTTGTTCTGGAGTCTTCCTCCTCCTTTTCAGCTTCATCCTTGACCTTCTGCCAGTATGGAGCAAGCATCAGCTTGTGCTATGGTGGAGATTAGCCTGTACTGGCTGCCACCTGGCTAGCTAAAGGTCTGAGGTATATCTACCTTTCTGTCAGCTGGGACACTGGGTTAGAAGCATCTCTTCTGTGTAGCTACTTTTTCCATAGAATTATAGGAAATTATCTCAAAACTCTTTTCCTCTGTAAGACTTGCATTAAATGAGCTTACCTCTTGGGCTCAGTATTATTGCGGAGAGAGCAACAAGCCAACAGATATTACCTGCTCAGGCGGGAAATACTGATATTCACATGAGGGAGGGGAGGGAAGGCTGAAGAGAGGATAGTAAAAGATCATTAGGTAAGGTCACTTACTGAGTATACACTCACAACAATAAGTCAGAAGTGGTTTGCAAGGGACATGCTTGAGTTCTTGCCCCATCATGCTTTAAAAAAAAAAAAAAGGATGAAGGATTGATCTTCTCCTGCCCTGTAGTAATTCCTTGTTCAAAGATCTGTTCAAGGATTTCTGTAGTTCTATAGGTGTAACTTGTGAAGAGTGTCTTAATGATTATAGCTCAGGAGGTGTCCTGCAGGATGCTGCTACTTTGCCTACAGCTCTTCCTGGAGGAAGGACCTCTTTGTAGGAGCAGTGACTAGAAGCCAAGCTCCTCATGCACAATCCAATAAGCAATAGTCAGGGGCAGGAAGAAGAGAAAGCAGCCTTCCTTCCTTGGCAGAAGCCCTGCCTGGATGTTCCAAGATGTGCGGGTAGAGCAGTTTTCTTGCCATGTTCTCCCTTCCATTTACCCTGACCCTTGCAGGAGGAACTCTCCTTGCAGGAGGAACTGTTTGCACTGAACAGGGGGTGGTTGGGAGTAGGTCTGTGATTGCAATGTGGTGACACTGGTTGCCTACCTGGGGAGGAAGAGGTTAACCTTCAAGGGAACTTGGGAAGGGAGCAGATCCCAAAGTCCAGATTTCCTGTCCCCATGGCTGCTCAGGTTAGACTGTTCCGCAGAACTAAGTCAAAGGTGGTGTGGAAAACCAGGATCTTTAGCAATGACTCTCTTGCTGTCATGTTTATCACGTGTAATCATGTTTAAAAACACTGCAAGCTGATAAAAAATTCTGTCATGCTGTTGTAAGCTGTTGCAAATGACATTAAATGTTACTTTCAAGAGCAAATTACCTTCAAATATTTTAAGATAAGTTCTTATTCTAAACAACAGCCCTATCATTACCTTTATACAACTTGAAGAATAAAAATATAAAGCTTTGTTTATTTCCTTTCATATAAAGTTTAATATCTAATTTCACAGTAAGCATTAGCATTCTTAGTATTGACATTTGTCATATTTACTACCTATAGGAGGTTAAATGTAGTATGTATGTATGTATGATGCTAGATTTCTAATGTAAATAATTAGATCGCTCTGTTGTGATACATGTATTTTCCCTTTATTTTACATATATATGGATCTGAAAGAATTTCTTTTTACGTGGATGGTTCTTACAGAGATGTAGTTATTTTAGTACCCTTGCTGTACAACTGTTGTGTCAGTTGTTGAAATAATTCTTTCACATCATATTTTTGGTAATGTGAAGAACCAACCTTAGCATTGGTTGGCATACTCTAATCAATGTATAAGCAAAACATCTCAGGTGTTTGTTAGCCGCTTCAGTTAAGCTGTAGATTCCTTGTTGGAATTTGCCTCAACTGGCTGGTGGTTATTGCAGCTGTATGTCTCCTCTGTGTTGAGATTTACTATGTATCTTTAACACACAAGTTCATCATAGGGTTTGGAGCAAAATACGAGGGCAAAATTAGTTAGTTGCTTCACTTTAACTTTGTATTTTTATATAAACTGCAGTCTTTTAATAAAAAATTAAATTGCTCTAAACACATGTTTCTTTACCGTGTTAGTGCAGATAGTCCTAGCTGGAGAGGGTAACAGTGACATATGGAGTGTCCAAAGGAGTGCAAGGGATGCAAAATATCCTTGAGAAACAGGCCATGAGGGAATCTCCTGTCCATGAAGTCATCTCCTTGGCTCTTCACAATTCAAGGGCTCTGTGGCTTATCTGCCTGCTTAGTACCGTAGTATTGTAAGAATTGCCTGCTTGGTTTGGGGTCTCCCAATGCTGTTTCTGGTTTTCTCTATAAAGTTAGTCAACCTCTTTATACAGTTAGAGGAACTGGGAATCTGTATGTAAAGCAAGATTTCTTGCATAACTTTGATAAGAAACATCTGTCCTGTCTCTGACGCTCCGTTTCGGGTCCTTCCCTTTTGTATAACTCCTTTAGTGACGTCTTTGCCTGTGATACTTTTCCATTTTAAACATCTTTCTTAGATGAACATGCTGCTTTTGGAATATCTTAGTTTTCTGAAATGTATGTACGTAACAAGGACTTTAAATAATCTATTTTTTTTTTTAAAAAGGCAAAAAAACCCTATATTGGTCCTGTTCTGAATTCTGTCAAACACTTCAAGAAGCAACCTTTGTGGGATGAAGAGTATGTTGCTTGTAGCAAGGAAGCATGATCAAGTAGACTAACATAGAAATGAAAGCTGAACTTGTTCAGTGTTATGGAAGTGTTACATTGAGGAATCTCTCATCTGTGTCATGAAATCTGCTTTCTGTTGGTCTGATGTTCTTTGAGGTGGAGGTAGTTCATAAGGTGTCTCAGGAAGCTTGATAATCATCTGCTATGGAATGGCAAATTATGGTATTTTTTTCTATGATGATGATCACAAGTCTACCCACGATGAAGCAGTGAATAAGGTGATTAGAAAACATCGTTTCTGAAAATACTGTTTTCTAACTAGCTTTTGTAAAGCATTTTTCTTACTTGAAAAAATTGCTGTGCAAGAGTAAATAACCATTAATGTTTTACCTTCCCTAGTATCTCAGGAGCTCTCATTTCTATGAAAACAGTAGAGAAGTTGGCCAGTTTGGTTTTATGTCTGCTAAAAGCCATTTTTCCCCCCCTCCTTTTTGCAGGTGAGATTAGTTTGGGGATGTGAATACAATGAGTGTAAACCAGCAAGCTCACACAGGGCCTCCTTATGGGCAACCTCAGCCTGGATATCAGGGATACCAGCAGCCTGCCTACGGAGGACAGCCATTGCCAGGAGTTCCTCAGTCGCAGTATGGAGCTTATAATGGTCCGATGCCAGGATATCAACAGCCAGTCCCTCCACAAGGTACTTCTCAGTCAAAATTTAATGATTGATAACCTGTGAATTGTTGCGCGCATGGAATTTTTTCTGTATACTTCCTATTGTTAGTCTTTATTTTGGGGTAGCAATTATCTTTTCTTCTGTGTGTAGCTTACATGATGTTAAAAATCATGTTCTTCCTGTACATTCTGAGGTTATTGTTCTGTCATTTGTCCATTTCAGTAGGGCTTACTCTTCTTTTAATAGCTGATAAAATTAACATGATGAGAAGCACAGCCTGCTTTTTTTCTGTGTGTCCCTGCCCCCGTGGTACTGAAGCACCTGACTAGGACAGTCTCCTGATGAGGTTATGTTGAGGGGCAGTAGTTAGGGACTGTAACAAATTTGTAACTGAGACTGCCTTACATTATTATGTAGAAAGTTTTGCACTCCTTCCTGGAAGATTAAGACATGCAACTCTATGCAGAAAGGGTATTTGAAGAATTTTCTCCAACGCCTTTAAAATCAGTAGGAAGTTTGTGGACATGTGGGCAAGCTAATGCATTCCAGAATTTCCCTGGTTCTGCAGGATCATATCACTTGTTTTTGTTTGGTAAAGAAAAAAAAAAGTGTAGTTCAACTTTTTTTTTCCTGTTTTCAAAAGAAAGGCTAACTTAAAATTATTAAAGAACTTTAGGAGACTTTGTTTCCAAGTACCTGAATTGCTTTAGGAGATTAATAGCGACTTTAACATCTGAAATGTAGAGGAGAAAATACTATTGCTTTGAGTAGATATTTCTGCCTTTCAAAATCATGTGGATGAATTCAGTTCTGCTGAGATAAGCACAACACAAACTTTCACTCTGAAATGTTTGTTTAGATTTCAGATCGGTATTCTAAGGAAATGAGGAATATACTAATCATGCTAATGGTCTCTGTATTATTTTCCCTTCCAAATACATCTTGATTTTTTTGCAACTTCTTGAATTTTAAACCAAACTCAGAAGGATAGAACAATCAAAGTGCCTGTAGTTGTCTTGAAACTAACAGAAGTGGGAGACTGGAATTTGGGAGCTAAATGATTACCCTGTTGGCTTTTTTGTCTGGAGTTAGCAGGGTAGTGGAGTAGAAGAAGAGTTAGTGTGGTATGCTAAAGAATGGGTTATTCAGTTGCTCCATCTTGCTTTTCTTTCCTTAATCCTTTTCCTCTCCTCCTCTCAATAAATCTCTTCCAACAGCACTTCTAATCTGTGACTTTTGAACTAATTTCACAGAGGGTTTAAATTCCTACAAAAGTAATGAAAATCAGCGCTGGGCAGAGGAAGGAAATCCTGCTTCCTGGGAAGACAGAGGCAGAGCTCAGCCATTGAGCGCTCCGTTTGGCTGCTCAATGTAGCCATTGACTAACTAGTGTTTCCTGTCCTGTGGAAGGAATGGGGAGAAATTGGACTTGCTTCAGTGAGGGAGAGAAAGAGATTCAAGAAGGACAAAGATTACTACAGATTTGTTGGAAAAGTTTCATCAGTGCAGCTATTTATAGAAAGCAGGTTTTGGCTGTTAGCTGTGTGAAAAACGTTCAGGATGTTTGTGAAAAGAAGCTGATGAGCATCTTCTATCAGATACTTCAAGAATTATTTACAAGTCTGAAAAGCATTTCCTTTTAAAGTAATTAACTTTTTTCCTTCTGAATTATTTCTGGTTTGCCTTTTAATTTCAGAACAGAAATGTGGTTCATCACAGCTCGGTAAGGACATACCTAGAAAGCTTGATAACATGCATACAGACTTGTGCAGATTAAAAATGAAGATTTTGCTTGAGCCAGTAATGATTGAAAGGTAGTGTGACACTGAGGGCAACCAGGTGATCTCATTTGGACAACAAAAGTGTATTGCACTACTCATAAGTAGTATCTCGTGTACTTTATTGATATATCAGGCAAAGGCCACTCATGGTTTGTGGAGATTTCTCTTCCATCTTTTCTCCTGAGACCATCTTTCCTAGACTTAGCAGACTGTATTAAGGAAATCTCAGTTGTCAAGTTGTGCATTTTGGACCTGTTACTGTAAATCCAGGATTCCTATCTTCAGAAGGAAGGAATGTAAAATTCGGAGCACTAGCACAACAGCCAGAAGTTGACCTGTTAGTAGCTCCTAAATATGACATCCAGGTGGAAAAGAGTGGCAAACAAACAATGCGTTATCAAAGAGAGCAGACAGGTGATAGTGACAGTTGTCCCTTCTACCCCCATGTCCAACATGTCTTATTTTTTGCAGGTCTTTGTAGCAAGACCTGTTGTAGCTGCATAACATAGAGGAGAGAGAATTAATTTCAGAGGCACTAGAGTGACAGGAATTTAGTGAACACTGAGGGGTAAAAGGAAAACTGCCAATGTTACTCTGTGATCACAAAGTGGTTGTCTTAGGGTTTTATTTTAAAAATAACAATAAAATTGCTTGGAGGACTCAGTGGAAAACTGTTGGGAGCAGGTGCCATCCTCAGTCAGGGAGTCTTTCACATTTGATTTATGTGACAAACCCTAGCTCTAACTAATGGAAACATGGGAATGCTGTGCTAGTGGTGCTAGTCTTGCTTGAGACCAGAAGTGGAGTACTGTGCTGCTAGCTGAAAATAGCTGCTTCTTGTTATGAGAATGTTGAAAGAACCAGGACAATTTTGCACGAATCTTTCAGTCAGTCTATCCGTTTCCTTCTGATGAGATCATGCAGTTGGAAGTGCAAACACAATCATCTGAATACCAGTAACAATTAGGCTGCTGCTGAATTGTTTTATGTAGACTCAGTTTACAATACTATTAACACCTGTATTAACGTTAATATATGAAATGTCTTGGTAATATATGTTGTGCATGGTAGAACAGTGAGAGGGAATATAGCTTAAGGAATAATGTGGTAAATGTGACATGAATTTTATGTATACGATATTTTCTGCACTGCAGACTGTCCTCAGCGTTGGAAAAACTGTCTCTTGGTGCTTTCTCTCAGGCTTGATTTACTGGTGTATTCTGTCTTTCCAGGTTACTTTCCTTCCTTGGGGTTCCCTTCGAAGGGCTCTCCTGTATCTCTCAACTCTGACACTTCTCTTGCACCTAATTTCATAGGTAAATGGTGTCCTTTCTGTGGGAGTGTTTGTGCTGTGCCACTTCTTCTGTGCCAAGTTCCCATTTAATATGGATATTTATCTCAAAGGTGTGGGTACCTGATTATTCAGGCAGAGGTGGGTGGGACACTTCCCAATCTATTTGTAAGCAGTGCTCAAGAAACATAAATAGGATATGAAGAAATAATCCTAGTAGAAATCCCTTATGCCTGCAGATTCATAGATAAAACCTGGCTTGTGACTAATGTTTTCTGAAGACTGATTTCAAAACCTCAATTGGCCCATTCAGGTTCTGTTGGGGAGAATCCTTAGTTTGAAAGAATGCAGTCTCACGCTTGAGAGAGAACTAAAACGTGAGGTTTGAAATGATATCATTGCCATGAAGAAATGAAAAATCTCCCCAAGCACCAGGAGGTTGTTATTGGAAGTCATGAGATATTTGTAACTTGTGCTTTTATTTAAGGGAAAAAAGAAATTTTTAGCTTGCTTGGCTGTAACATAGAAACCAAATATATGTTAGGAACAATTATGATTCCAAAAGCTGTAGCTTGAAGAAGGAAATACTTTTGCAAAGCTAGCAATCAAGATGTAAGAATTAGAAACGCTGCAAGAATCATATTGTGTTTTTCCTTCTTTCCAACGAGTGGTATTTTGGAAGAGCTATTTCCAGTGGTGGGTGTCAATTTGTTTTGAAGAGTACAGAGTTAGGCCAAGACCATATAGTGTCAGGGCTTTGTGTAAAATCACAGGCATTTCCCATTTCGCTGTAATCTACCTCCATTTTGAACAGTATCTCAAAGGTGTTAAAGGGGAACATCAGGATTCCTCAAGCGTAATGAATCTTAAATAAGCCACTAGATATTCATACCTGTACAAGTGAATTTTTTTCAGTGGCTATTTGAGCAGTCTGTGGTAATGGGTACAGAAGTATATTTCTGACAAGAACTAGAAAAAGAAGACTTCAGAAGCTTTTTCTGAAGTAAGCATGTATTTGTCAAATTGTATGCCTGCTAAAGTTGAGGGGGGGGAAATGTTAAGGGGGGTGGTGGTGTAGAATCCCACCAGGAAATGGATTAAGTATGCTTTCAAAGACAAAAGACAACAATGCCAAACAGTGCACATGTACTATCAAAGGAGAGAGATTCCAAAATAGATGGAAGTATATCAAATTAACTGAAAAGGTATCACAAAAGACATTCAGAAATAGAAATACCACACAACATACAAATATTTAGAGATCGGGAAATGCTTAGCCAGAGGAACAGCGAGACAAAGGTGCTGTAACAGTAGTTTAGAAAAGACAAGATTTAATGAGATGAAGCTATATAAAAAATAATAAATGTCTCTGGAAATAATTAAGTCCTAAGTCTCAAAATGAAGAACAGGAGGAGGTTTAGTAATAAAAGCGCCCCAAGAAATTACTGGTTATTCATACAAGGTCTAGTTAATTCCTTCCTTGAATTTACATCCACAAGCTTACTAAGAATTACATGTAGCGGATAAGATAAAAATATATGAGTTAAAACCTCATGCTTTGGTGTATAAATTAGACTGTAGATTTGAGAAATGGCTTCTCTTATTTCCTGTTTCATAACGGTTCCTCACAGGAAGGTTTCAGAGTCCCTTTTAAACTTGTCATGCCAGTCACCGTCAGAGAGACACAACAATGTGTATGTGCTGCCCTGGTCTCATGGGGCAGTTCACTCTATTTAGTCATCTGTATTTAATGATATCCAATACATGAAATATGTTCCCTTGTGGTTAGCAGGCATGGTCATATGGTTGTTCTAATTATCAGCATTTTTAACATAATATTATTAAAATAGAAGTTTATGTTCTCTTTTTTGGAAGTAGACACTGCAGTTGGTCTGCTGGTATTGTATGCAGCATCGTGCGGTCTGTGGAAAGTGTGAAGACTTGTTTCTGAGGCAAATATATTTGGGATGTGACTGACCCAGCTCAGTCTGAAAGATGAGAAAGTATTTGTGTTAGCCTCCAACCTTGAGAGGTTGAGAAGAACAGGCTGTGGTGGCCCCCATTATGTTATATATAAAAGCAGTTAGTCGGATGTAATTTTTGAAAATTGAATCTACTCACATAACCTGCTTACCTTCCAAGTAGGGAAAACTGACCTGTAAAGAATGTTAGGTTCCGTGTGAATACTCTCCTTGGTCTGGATAAAAATAATTGGACTTGGAGGGGGAAGAATTTAATACCTTACTGACAAGATAATGGTTTTTTTCTTCATCAAAAGATGAAATTATCTTTCGAAGACCCTCCACAGTACATATTTTCTACTTGGTCTGTGTGGAGATGGTGACTAGTGACATTGGCTAAAAATATTTGTGCTTTCAGTTTTGCTACTTGTAATATAGTTGTGTAAATAATTTGTTGCTCATGGAGTATTGATAAATCAATTTGACCATTGTTGAACCGTTTCTGCACTTTTTTATTTCCTGGATTTTTCACGGTAGTTGGTTCCAGCCCTTCTTTCTGTGAGTAATTTGTGGGGTTTGGGGAGATTTTATTTTGTTTTGGTAGGGTTTTTTTGGTTTTTGGTTGTTTTTTTTTTTAACATTTTTTTCCCCCTTATGTCTGTAGGTTCGTTAAGAGCCCCTCCAACATCTGGAGCTCCCCCTCCAGCCTCTGGAGCATCTCTTCCTTCTGGCCACCTGGCATACAGTCAGTATGGACACGGAGATGTGCAGAATGGGATTCCAGCCTCAGCAGCCCCGATGCAGAGGTACATACAAGAAGAGCAAATCATAACAAAGGCCTGCCTTGATAGACCTATGCTAGGTCTAGACCTTCTAGGATCTAAAACAAACAAAATACTTTGTTTTTCCTGTGGTGGACATTGACTTTCTTTTATTGCTCCCTTATTGTTTTGGAACAACATTTTGCCATAGGGGTATTTGTTAGACAATAAGAAGCTCTGGACATGAAAAACTTCTGAAAGGATATGAGCAGATGTCAGTGACTGATCAAAACCACTTCTCCTCCAAAGCCTTCCTTTGTGGTAGTCATTTTCCCATAAGGAATTTTCCGATTCCCATAATCTGTCTTGTTTTAAAACAACTGCATCCACACAGCTGTAGTACTTGATTCCTTTGCAGTGTGAATTGATGTCTGTCTGGAGCATGTTGCTGTCTCTCATTACTGAGTAATTCCTTAGTATTGGTTCTGGGTCCTTTTCTGTCTATTATGGATCCCTGAGTTATCTTCATCTAAAGCTCTTGGGCATCTTCTCCAGACAGATACTGCCATTACCTCTGTGGTGGAAGTGGCAACAGTCCTCACTGCTTCATTCTGATTACTGGTTATGGAGGAAGGTGGCTGGTTTTTGTTTCCTTCTGGTTAAGCTCAGCACTGTCAGCTGGAGAGTCCAAATCATTTGAGCAGCAGAGCGTTCTTACATAGCTGTGCAGGCCTTACTGTGCTCACCTTGTTGCAGTATTTCTGATTTGTTGTGATAACTAAAATGGAATTAACAAAAAAATGCTATAAACATAGAATTTGTATTTTAAGAACTAATAGATTTTTTTTGATGAAAGGGGTTCACATCCATGCAGGATATGTAATTATTTTTCCGAAACTGAACTACAGGGCTTCATGTAAATAAGCTAGTGTTTATGTGGTAGAAAAATTTTAAAGGCACAGAGAATTGTAACTGCTTGTATAATGGGGAATCCATTGAAGTTTGTCATCTTTCTGCTCAGGCCACCTGCTTCTCAGCCGTTTCTCCCAGGCTCAGCACCCACGCCTGTCAGCCAGACATCTACGTTCCAGCAATATGGTCCCCCCCCAGCCAGTGTACAGCAGCTCAGCAATCACATGGCAGGGATGACAATTGGCAGTACTACAGCCTCTGCTCCTCCCCCAGCTGGACTGGGCTATGGTGAGGTTTCCTGGCTACAGAAATAATGATATTGGTTTTCATTTATGCTAGTAAACTAATAAAAGATTTGCTCTTGTCAATGATTCATTGCCATATGGTGATGGGAATTCTCTGGGTGAATTCATCTGCCATAGTAAATGGTCTAATAGGGTCATCATTGAACCGAGACTATTGTAGGGGACAGCGCAGGAAGTACTGCAGGATGTGAGTAACAAAGGAGAGTAACAATATTTCTCCTCAACTGTGTGAATCTTGGTGTGAAAAACAAAAATGGTCTATCCCTAAGTAAGCTGTTGGAGAGTCTACGTGCCTTGCCACTGTTGTGCAGCCCAGTCAAAAAAAGAAGGAAAAAGGGCTCAGTAAATTGCAGAGGGCTGAAATTAGTCTGATTCTGTGAAGGGTTTTGCTGGAAGTTGAGAAGAAGCTTAATTAAACAGTATAAACTGAATTTAGATGTTTTGTTCTGTTGTATTAGATTTACAGTCCCACTGCTGTATATTACAGGACTTTTTTAAATTGAAGACTAGAGATTTGTCTTTAGTATGTGTAGGCTGGTCTGACTACGCTTTGATTTTATTTTTTTAATTGTTTTGGTAAAGTACTTTTTGACAAGCATCTCTCATACCCTAACATAGACTTTATAGGAAAATTAGAAGTAGGGGATGCAGATTTCTCCAGCCTTTTGGCAATGTGTTTGTCTAAAATTATCCTCAGAAATAGTACAGTGGCAAATACAGAAGATGCTAGTTCCATGCTATTAAAACCATGAGGTTCAAAACCATTCTTGAACTACAGGCTCCACCTTAGTGTGGCATTTAAGACACAAACTTATTTCACTTCAAGAAGTCAGTAGACAGACTTGTGGTGGTTCTTGTTTTGCATAGTCCTGGCTTTGCCCCTTTTTTCTGGCCCTGAATTCTGAAGTATATTCTGATTATGTAAAATAAGAAGCTCAGACTTTGAGGGAGAGAGGACACTGAAAGAACTATCAAGTTTCAGATCCCTTGGAGGAGTTTCAATTCTCTGATCAATTTAGGAGGGTGTTCACTTAAGGTTTGTTTCTATTACTAATGGCAAGTCTATCTGAAGATGAGAAAGTGGTAGACCTATGTAGATGATCTAGAGCAAATGGGTTTTGCTTGCATCTTAATTGTCTTGAGGATAGAAGAAAATTATGTTACTATCATCTTTTCCTCTTACCAGGTCCCCCAACATCGGTTCCCCCAGTCTCAGGAAGCTTTAGTGCAACAGGATCTGGTCTCTACACACCTTATACTGCGAGCCAAGGACCCCCTCCTACCAGTGTGTCTCAGGGTCTTCCTTTGGCACAGCCTCCGTTTCCTGGTCAACCAATATCAACTCAGCGCCTACCTACTCAAGTCTCTGGTTTTGCACCACCTCCCTCTTCTACAGGGATTGGACCTTCCTCTTACCCTCCTACCACAGGTGCCCCGAGGCCACCTACCATGCCAGGCCCACCACTGCCTGGGCAGACAGTTGCTGGACCACCAACATCCCAGCCTAATCACGTATCCTCACCACCACCTCCATCAGCTATGTCAGGGCCTCACCCTGGGCCTCCCATGAGTGGCCTCCATGGACCACCTCCTCCCACTCATCCTCCTCAGCCAGGATACCAAATGCAGCAGAACGGTGAGTATTCCTAGTATAGGAACTGTATATAGAGAACATGTGTTCTCTATGTGCTGCAAACTGAGAACTGGGTTTCAGGTTTGTTACTTGTGGGCTCCTGGCTGCACTTCAAAGCTTCTGTCTTCTTTCCCTGTGCTCATGTCTGAAGGACAAATCCAAGATAAACAATAGGGTGTGTCATTCTAAGGTATTTGTCGTACATTTTTTAATCAGATTAATGTAACTAAAGGAATCTTAGCTTACTTGGCCAAAAAAGTTGTTTAATAATTAGTGCCATAATACTACAAGAATTCGTGATCAAAATTTTCCTTTCACATTTTGTGTGTGCTTAGAAGTAATACCAGATAAGCTTTCTGAATTATAAACAGTTTTGGCTGATGTTTAATCAATAACATTTACACGTAGCTAGGAAAAAGTAATCATGTGCAAGTGTCAGGATGGAGAATCCCATTCCCCATGCAGCTTTGCACAACTGGTCAGGTAAATTACTTAAAAATATCTGTCCAAATTGCTATGAACTGTAAAAACACTAATGGGGTAAATCATGCTGTTACTCCATAACTGACTGAAATTGTCTGAAGTAATATGAAATAACTTCAGGTAGTTACAAAGCAGAGATAATCATACGTTAACCTATTACTGTAATTTCAGACAAGCCAAAACTGCCAGAGAGAAATCCTTGCATACCTTTAGTTTGAGGAATTATGGGTCATCCACTAGCTTATTTGGCTGTTCTGTGTGCGCTTTCTATTAGGCAGTTCTGCAGTTTAACTTAAATGTTCATAGTGCATAATCTTCATGCGTATTTTAATCATGTTATTCTAAAAATAGTTATGTTAGTCTAAAAACTTGTGTTTCCTTAAGTCTGATTTTAAGGAGAACAGTAACCATCAGTTTATTGGATCATTGATAGATGTATGGGTCTGAGCTGAAACACTGGGATAAATATGTTTAATCCTAATTAACTGAAAACGTGACTTCTTTTCCTTGTTTTTTGACCATGACAGGAAAAGTGGGAAGTGCCTAATGAGGAAACACCTAGCATTAGCTATTGTTTGATTTTGCTGTCCCTTTCTTGTAAGGTTCCTTTGGGCAGGTGAGGGGTCCCCAACCAAACTATGGAGGAGCCTATCCAGGAACACCAAATTATGGAACTCAACCCGGAGCACCACCTCCACCAAAACGCTTGGATCCAGATTCCATTCCTAGCCCTGTAAGCTTACTTTGTTCTTACCAGTGTGAACTCTTTCATAGTGTCTTTACATAAAACGGAACTGAGAAAGACCAAAGCTGAAAACAGGTTTCTTGTTACAGAGAACGTCAGTCTGTTTTCCTGCTTACTTTTCTCTTGCATATCCAGCTTTAGTCTTTTGTTATGAATAAGCCCAGAAGCAGTATTTTTCTTGGTGACTAAAGAAAGGAACTGCATATGCAAATCAATGCTCTAATTCCTCAGGTCTTTTTCTGTACTATGTTACATTTTGAGAATCCTTGAGGGCTTTGCTTAAGCTTGTTTCTCCATTTCTGGATTCTTGCTTAGTGACTTTCCAAGGTGAACTGATTTCAGTTTTTGAGATGACAATCTATAAACTGTATGATCCAAGTTTAAAGTATGGTTAATGGGAGGTGATTGTAGCGCTTTTCCTTTCCCTTTTCCTATAATCTGTCAAAAAGCTGGTTAGCATTTTTTTGGGTCATTAAGTCGCAACACTACTTCAGTCAAGTATGGACAACTTCTCAAATTATCTTTCAGAATGGAGGTTCTGAGAAACGGCGAGCAGTGATGTGTTATGGTTAGCAATGATGAGTAGTATTAAGCCTTGCAGTATTATTGCCACTGGTCTACTGTGCTGTTCCTTCCACTGCTGCTGATGCTGTTCTGTTATTGTCTCAGAAAGCCGCAGTCATCTGAGAACAGGAAACCTTTCCAGGGCAGTGCTTACAATCGGTTTACTTCAAAAGTATAAAAATAATCTACTTTAGTCTTGAGTTACGTCTTAGATCTGGACTGGTGCTGTTCAGAAGTTATTGCTGTTCAAAAAATATTATCTGTTTAGACTCCAGGTTTATGTAAAGTTTATGACCGTATTTTTTTTGTAGAATATAAGAAGTCTTTAATTGCTTGTCTGCTTCTCTTCTCTTCCACTAAATGAAATCTCAAATGGCTTATGTCAGTTGCCTTCATTTTAGCATGTTCTTAAAGCATAAATCCCCAATTTCTAACCAAAATGAGCACGTGAGTCACACCTCTGTTAGCAATGTGTTCAGTGCCCAAGCCTAATATCCTGGCAAGACTGGTTTTGGGATCGGTGTATGCTGCAGAAGCTGATATTTCCTGTTGCATGAACCAATGTCCAAATGTATCTAATTCCAGTGCTACAGGTTTGGGTAGAGAGAAGTAACGCTGTTACTTTTTGTTTTATTATTCTCTTTTCTTTTTCTTTTTCTTTTTTGTGGCACTCTTACTTTTTTAAAAAAAGCAACTCAATGAGCTGCCACCCCAGCAGAAACCCAGGCACAGAATAGACCCAGATGCAATTCCTAGTCCAGTAAGTGCTGTATCTATGTCAGTTGTAGTCTGTGTGTTGGTGACCATCTGTGCATGCCTGAAACCTGAACTTCACCTCACTAACCCTCCTTCATTAATCCTTTACCCTTTCCTTGCTGTCTTCTGCTTGCCTTATCAAAATGAGTAACATTACACCACAAGAGGTTGTTAAAATCTTCTCTTCTGTGATGAATGGTGAGGCAATAGAAAGCAGACTGTTTCAGAAACAGATCATGAAGAATGTCTCCCCTTCACTTTGTCTGATCTTTAGAATATCTCCTTCATCAGATTCCAACTGGCATTTTCAGTGTAAGCCATCAGTATCATTGTCCATACAATGTGCGTCTTGTGTTAACATACACATAGCATGAGCCTTTGTAGCCATGTTTTCTACCAGTTTTGAGTAGAATTTGATTACTGTTCTTGTTGATATACCAGTACTGGACTAATGCTTTGAAGTTCTAAAATTGCAGATGAAGTCTTTTGTTTTGATGTTCATTCCTGATATAAATCTTCTAGCAGATTAATATGAGGCATGGGGAGCTATAAACATTCTCTCATTATCTGTGCTTATACATAACCATTAAATTTTGAATTTTAAAATTTAATGTTTATGCGTAGAGAATCTTACCTAAAGAAAGAAAAAAGCAGCTACCTTTTGGATTGGAAGAAAAAAAAATACATTTGACTTTCTGTTACCCTTGTATCACTTCTTCCTCGTTTAGCCAAAGTTGATCATGTAACGGGTACCAGCGGTGAGATCACCGATGTCAGTCAGTCTGTAGACTTTTGAAATGGAACTAGATTTATCCTAGAGTAGTCACTGTCTGATGCTATGTGAGGCTTTCTGCTGGCAACTTGGAATCCTTAGTGGCAGGGTAGAAGTTCTGCCATGCAAACTTCTGCATTTCACAATTTACTCAAAGCAAAGGCATGTGTGTTTTGTGGCAAAATAAGATCAGAAGAACAGTTGCTAGCTTTAATGCTTTCATTCAGGCACCAGTATGGAAATGTAGTTAAAACTGTGTATAACTACAATTTTCTGTTCTTATGCAAAGGTCAGTGGATATTTTAGTCAAGTAAAACTTGACTTTAATGCATTTCTTTTACCTTAAGCATGTTTGCATTAATGAAGAATTTGAAATACTAAGACATTTAAGACTTTTACTGGCTTTGTGAAGTTTAATCTTGATTCATTGATAAGTCTGCTGAAACTTCACTTTCCACATCCCCAGAATTCAAATCATAAACTCTTGAGCACCACAGAGTATTGAAGACTTCCACCTGAGCTTGCAAGCATCTGTCTTTAGGTCAGAGTTACAGTGGTTTAGAAATAAATGTATACTGTGAAAACAGTGGGAACATAACAGAAAGGAAAAGCCAGGTTATCTATAGAACTTCACCCTGAGGCTTACAGCAGCTTCTAATTTTAATTTGGCTAGGACCAGTATACAGGGGAGTGCTACCAAAAGTTCCTTTCTTGATCTGTGTTTTGCTTGTATGATTTCAGATCGGGCCTTAAAACACAAAATATGCTACTACTCAAAATACTTGGGGAAAAATACTATTTGCAACTTACAATTTATTGTTAGTCATTAAGTACTATTCGAAATCAAACTGAGAGGTGACTGCTTGACAAAACTTATGTACTTTAGACTTCTTATTTTTAGAGATAGTAATGTTTGCCTCAGGTCCTCTTTTCACTGCCTTACAGATATAAACTTTGTATTTTACAGTACTTTGAAATCAAGCCTCCAAATATTAATGTGGTGTTTTCCGTCATAGATTCAAGTGATTGAAGATGACAGAAGTAACCGTGGGTCAGAACCATTTGTCACTGGAGTGAGAGGGCAGGTCCCACCTCTTGTTACTACGAATTTCTTGGTCAAGGATCAAGGTAAAATTTTTTTTCTTTTCCTAAGCAAACAAACAAAACACAAAGCCCAAAGAGTCAGTGACAGAACTGTCTATGTCTTTAAAGGAAAAGTTTGAGGAATGATTTCAGTGGCTGGGGATGTGCGTTTTACCAACAGAAGCTTAGTTTCAAGTCCTGTGTTGATTTGGTCTCAATTTAGATTCTCCTGATTGTTTGGTAGCTAGTAACCAATTCACAAGTAAAAAATGTTTTCCAAGGCAGGTACCTGAGACCAGCATTAGCAGGGATATCAGAAAGCAGCAAATAAAGTGTCTTCTGTAGAGCTGTATCAATGACAGTTAAGAACTGAAATTTACTAGCAATATCATTTAAATTGTAGTGGGAACTGTATTTTTTTTAAATCATGAGTGGGATGTCAATTGGTCCATGGGCTTCATCGAGAAAAGATACTTCATCTTTTAATTTCCCATGCCTTTTTGGAGATTTTAAGCTCCCTTAAAATTTCAGAATCTGATTCTATAATCAAGTGGTTTAATCTTCAGCCAAAATTACAAAAATCAAACAGTAGAAATGTTTGAGTTCAGTTTTCTGCCTATAGTACATTTTAGTCTGCAAAGAGAGTGAAACAGGAATGCCTTTTTAGATGTTTAAGTTGATGTGGAGTCAAGTTCATTTGTTTTGAGTTAAGAGCTTTTATTATACATAGTTAATCATAAAGAGGCATTTTGTTTGGAATTCAAGTTTTGCGTAAATTGAAATTAATTGATTGTTTAGATAAGCTTGTAGTCTCTGTGGCTTAACAATACAACTGAAGGTATCTTTATTTCTGTTCTTGAATATAAACTTAACTTGTACTGAAATTTGTAGGGATTTTTTCTTTGTTCCCCAGGTAACGCAAGCCCCCGCTACATAAGATGCACATCTTATAATATTCCCTGCACCTCAGATATGGCCAAACAGTCCCAAGTTCCCCTAGCTGCTGTCATAAAACCGCTGGCTACTCTACCCCCAGAGGAGGTGAGAACCTTTTGCAGACTTAGATATACACTGTATGCACTCTACACTCATGAGGGGAATGCTATTAGATGCGTTGAGAAGGAATGTTTAGGTAATGAAGACTAGGTAAACACCAATTCTCTCACAAGCATGTGGTAGAGATCTGTAAGGCAAAAGAATATTGTGTTCAAAACATTTAATATTTTGATCACCATGATAATTTCAGCTTTTTTGCAGTAACTGTCAAGCACTATTACCAAAATACTAGGATGATCACAAATGCGTACACTTCCATTGATCTCAATTTCTTTCTTGGCCTAAAGTATTTAAATGGTTACTAATCACTGATGTTGAGTCTTTTCTAGGATGTCAAGTTGTGGAATTGGATAGGAACGTATCAAGCAGCACTGGTTAAGCTGTCTAATGTGCATGTACATGCATAGCACTGTGTGGGGTGATAGCACAGACTGAGTACTGGGCACTGCTGCGCTGCACTTGTATTTCTGCCCTTGCTCTGTGCAGCCCTTATGTCCTTCTAGGTGTAATGTGTGGCTAGCTAGCCTTTTACCCACTCTCTCTGGTTGCTGAGAACATGAAAGCTTCAAGATATACGGAGCTAGAAATTTTATAAAATATTCTAAATATTCTAGCTACTGTGTAGTGTTAGCCTTCTTGGAGCAGTGACATAAAGACCAATACGCTTGCAAAATTTCAGTACATATGTTTGCAGTATTCTGTGCCTTCTTAAACTTAACTTTAGCATCTGCTGAGGAAAGAAATATCCTCTGGGCTTTTAAGGGTGTTTTTTTTTTCTGTTGCATTTCATTAATGTTCCTAAACTATGGTTTGGATTTTGAAAATTGGTTTGTGATTAAACTGAGTTGTGAAGCTAATTCCTGCATTGCTGTATTGAGGCTGGAGTTGAAAAGGAGCACAATAGGAGAATGTGGTCTTGTTTGAGAAACCTGGAGGCTTGTGGAGCTGCACATTATGAGAGAAGTTTTACAAACAACTAGTTGTGAGGTCTCCTGGTGTGTTTGTGCTTTGAACAAACACTTGTGATATCCAGAAAAAACATGGCTGGGATTGGAAAATTGCCCTGGAGACTGGTCAGCTTCTAGCATTGGAAAGTTCTTTATAGCAAGGGCAAACTCCCTGTGGAGGGGCCCTTCCAATGGATGAAGGCTCAGCTGTTCAGAGCAATAAGACTGTAAGTAGAGCTAAAGCTTAACATTTCAGTAATGAGAGGATAAATGTCTCATGAAAATACAGCATTCAGATAAATCTAGAATATGTAAAAATTCAGCACCTGGTTGCCAGATACGGGACCTTTGCCCTGTATTAATGCACAGTTCAGAAAGCAAAGCTTGAGGCTTCAGAAGGAAGTATCTCTGTGCCTTCTGGGAGCAAGTGGTTAGTGACAAATTATGCATAGCACTGCACGTTTACAGCACCCATGTAGTTTGTTTGCATGCATGTTACTGGGAGAGAGGCTGCGGAAAAAAGCTTATTGTGTGGAAGTACAATACCGACATTGCCTGGCAGTCAGAAAACTTGAAATTTTGTTTCCTCTGAGGAGGTCAGCCTGAGTGATGGGAGCTGAGAAACACTGGCCACAAAACCATTGTATTGTCAGTAAATGATTAGTGGGGTTGAATGAGAGATGTGACACATCTGTGGCACGAAGAGGAAGAAAGTGCCTGGAGCATTTGCTCAACTCCTACTCAATGAATCTGTTGTCTCTTAAACATGATCAGAGGTTTAGGGTGACTGAGAGAATTAAGACCGGACACCTTGTCAGAAAATTTAAAAGTAAGTAGTTAAACTTCCTTTTGAGCTAGATTCTTAGTTATGAAAGGTGCTTTGAATGATGAGTGCAGCTTGTAGCTTGCATGAGATCTGTCTTAGTAATTTTAAAGTGCTTCCTGCCTGTTCTGAGGTTGAGAAGCTGCAGAATTTGCCAAGCATTTTATTCTGGTTTGGCTGGAAACAGAATATATTATCAGTAATAGTTCAAAAATGGTATCACTACATAACAGTTTTGAGGACTTGCTATACAATGGGGTCAAGACAAGCAGAACTTAGGGGTATACTGTATGTCGTGGTGGACTTCAAAAATAAGCCATATCAGCTGAAATTTTTTAAGATTGTGTGGATGCTCTATGTTCTTGAATATATGGAATGCAATGACTGGCTTCTATTTTGTCAAAAAGCTTGCTTTTTTTTGAAGGGAAAAATGTAAGAGGTGAAGAGTTGCTTTTAAAACACCCAGCCTGTGGTAAAATGTAAATTGCATGGTCACTCCGATGAAGTTATCACAGCCATTCTTTGCATGGCTTCAGTCTTTGTGTTCACCTGGGATACATCTGTGCTGTGCAGTGCAGTACTCCTGCTAGAGCTCGTGCTCCTCAAGCAGGCTACTATATAAGGTGGTGCAGCACCATGCAGAAGTACTTGTTTGTGTCTAAGTGGGATAGCCCATTAATGGCTGCAGCCCACAAAGAACTGCTGTGCTAGAGCTTGAGTTGAAAAGCATTTACAAAATACTTGTTCGGGCTTCTCCACCCCATGCACTCTCTCCCACAGCTGCCAAAATGTTAAATCCTATGCAATGTACAGGGAGATAGTTTCAAGCTCTGCAGTATGTGTGGTCATTTCTTTCTCATCATCATGTGAACTTTCTTTTCTTTTTTTTATCTGCTTCCACAGACCCTTCCTTACTTGGTAGACCATGGAGAATCCGGTCCTGTCCGATGTAATAGGTGCAAGGCTTACATGTGCCCTTTTATGCAATTCATTGAGGGTGGAAGGAGGTTCCAGTGTTGTTTCTGCAGCTGTGTCACTGAGGGTAAGGTTTCTTCTGGAAATCTGTCTCCAGGCTCTATTGGAGTGATCTTTGAACAAGATGCAAGCAAATAAATCTTTATCATGTTATGATCATTTATAATGTATACTGTGCTTTAATGTGTGTATAGTCTTGTAAAAAAAAGTGGTTATTAAATGTTCAGTGCTCAGTTCTGAAATTATGTTCAAATTAAGTAGGTGCTTATGTGTTGAAGTATTATTGTACTAAATTTTTAACATGAGGTACTTGTAGCATAATGTATGGTGGTGTGAAAAATTATTTATGCTATTTTCTCGGGGTATTTCAAACTTACATTTTTCTATGACAGACAGAGATGTACATCTAGTCAGTAGCATGAGTTAGGATTCTTTTTTCTCACAAAGCTTTTTAAACACTGCTTAGTGATGAGATTGCAGCTAATCTGCTACAGCTGAACAGGAGTGTTCAATATATGCTAGTTAATCTTAGTTGGTCTTCTAAATGAATATAAAACATGCTTCCTTTTAAGCAGAAGTCACTATGTGCAGCTCATAGCATGACATCCATAGGTTTGTTTTGAAGGCATGGTGATGTTTTGAGTGTTTCTTTTGGTAGCACTGATGGCTTTTAATGGACTGTTTGTTCTTATTACCTCAGTTATGCTGTACAACTGTTTGTACAAACAAAAACGGGAAGCTGATGGGCAACAGAAATGGCCAACTTCAAAAAAAACCTTTTTTGTTTGGTGATTTTCATCCTGCACGCTTTCCCTGTCCCTGCTTACTCAGCAGCTGTATGAATGGCTGTACCTGTTACAACTGAGCAGGGGCAGAAAAGGGAGGGATGCTCAGAGACTGCTGGTGAAAGCAGTGCTGTGAAAATACAACGCAGTTGTACCTAATACTTGAGAACAGTTTCTGTTTTCTCTGGAAAAACAATCAGGTAATTAGCTTGTACTGGATATATGCTTGGAGAGGAGAAGAGTGATAAGTGCTTATATATAGTCACTTTGTTTTCTGTTGAAAATTTGAATGTTTAGAATAATTTAAAGGTGGTGAATACTATCATTACAGATAATCTCATTTTATTCTCCCCTGGAGCTATATAGGCAGCTATAGCTGCAATACATTTTGTCACCCTAGCAATTCTGCAGGAGGGACGCCCTGTCATGGTAGTTCTTGGAACATGAGGGAAATGCTTTCTTTGTTTCTGCAGCTGACTTTTGTAGGCGAAAACTTAGCTTAACTCCTATTTTACCTTCTGATGCCTGGTACCAGCATGGAAGTACTGGGCATGTGGTTACAATTTTGGTTCTTCCTTCTTAATGCTTTGCAATCCACTCTAAGAAGTACCCTGTCTATTCTGACAAAAGGATTATGGCAGTCTCTGCACCTGAGAGTGCCTAGAAGGCTTTATCTTGTGCAGCATGGGAAGGGAAGGGAAGGAAAAAGCTAACTTGTATAGCAAAATAAGGAGCTCAATCTTTTGGTAAGCCTGAATTGAGTCAGTAGTGTTGTAGCCTGTTTTGCCTCAAACGCTGTTGTAAGTCATTTGTTACTACTTACACAAAATTGTTATATTTTTCCTTTGGACTAAATCCTTCAGGAGAATCCTAAGAGCATGTTGTAGTGACATTTCTGATATGAAATGTAAAATAAGAATGTAAAGGAGAATCAGGAAAAGTACAATAGTGACTATACAGTGTGCCACCTGGTGCATAAGACAAACTGGAAGTAGTTTGTATTTCTTGGCTTTAATGATGCTCTTAAATTGCATGAATATTTTTAGTAATACTTGCATGCTAGCACAGAGTGCTAGCTAGCTTTCCTGGAGTTTTATTTGAAACAGCTGTTGTCATGTTAGCTCTCTAGTCACAGTATTTATCGTGGGCGTGTCACTGAACTTAATGGTTTTTTTCCTTCCCCAGTGCCACCTCACTACTTCCAGCATTTGGATCATACTGGAAAGCGAGTAGACTTCTATGATCGACCTGAGTTATCACTGGGGTCTTACGAGTTTCTAGCAACAGTTGACTATTGCAAGGTACAGTAGTATGTGTTTATTACTGGGTTGGGGGTTTTTTTTGCTTTTAAATAAAAACCCTATTTTTCCTGAAAGTAAGGATGACGTGAATTGTCTGGGTCTGCTTTCTAGCTGACAGAGATAATTAACAGCATTAATCCAACCCACTTCATTGTGTAAGGTAACGTGCGTGTCTGCTTACTTCCCAAAGTAGAGGAAGTCTTGATCACACATGACGTAATATAATTTTGTTATGGCTGCCTCTGTCATTCTCTTCTGGAGCTAAATAAGCAGCTATAGCTGCTGTTACCTTAGCAGTTCTGCAGGAGGGACTCTCTTGCAGTAGTCCTTGGGGCAGAAGGAGAATGTAGGAGAGATTCAAGTAAAGTACAGTAGTAACTATGCAATGTGCCACCTGTTGTGTAAGACAGACTTTACCTATTGAACTTAAATTTCAAATAGTGGTTAAAAACACAAGAACAGTGTGGAAATATATGTAGTCAGAGCTGGTTCACTTTTACATTAAAGATTTAAATAATAATAAACTTCTAAGGAATAGGAAAAATATGTGTTTATTAAAGCAATTTATATCTGCTGAAATAAATGCTGGGCTAATAAATGCCTAAATGTTGCAACTTTATACTGGTTACCTTCTGACGCCTCAGCTTTACTTCAAGTTAAGGGAAGAAACAATTATCTTGCTTCTAATTGTAAGAAGCGTTTTTAAATCAAGCAAGATGCGATCTTCCCAGCTTTCTTGAAAGTTCTTCTGTTTTGCTTTCATTCTGTGTGCTCCTTCCAGTATGACCTATGGATTTCAGAAAACTGTTGACTGAAACAGGTGTTTCTTTCCCAAAGCAACCCTGGTATTTCAGTAGAAGGGAAAGGTTGCAGTTCTCAAGAGAGGAAAATCTTTTGCTTTATGTTGATGAAATCACTTATAACGAGTCTGGTCAGATTCCAAAGTCTTGAGAACTGGAAAGAAACTTCCCTGTCTACTTTACCTAACTGTCCTAGTCATGTAAATGGATGATTTAGCTGTGACTAGCCTGCTCTTCACCGAGCAATGGCAAAATCAGTCTAGGGCATGTAATACCGGTCCATTTCAAGCACAGTGTGCTTACATGTCTGTTAGTTGGGCAGGGATGGGAGAATGATCTGACGAAGCAATTACTGCTCATGAGTAGAAAAGTGCATGAAAGCTATTAGAGTTTTGACCAGCATTCATTTGTCTGTGTTACAGAGCTGTTATGTGGGCTGCATTATATGGCCATAATGTGACTTATTCCTTCTCTTCCACAGAATAACAAGTTTCCCAGTCCACCTGCTTTCATTTTCATGATTGATGTGTCTTACAATGCTGTGAAGAGTGGCTTAGTGAGACTAATATGTGAAGAATTAAAGTCACTCCTAGATTACTTGCCCAGGTATGTATATTGTACTGTAGCCAGTCAAAATCGGGGAAACTGTCACTTTTTCCCTTTGAAAAAAGCTAGAAATTAAAATGTTGTTTGATAATCCTGTCAAGCTTTTCTTCAGAAAAAGGCCGAGCAGAACATCTTTCTGAGTACCTTTCTAGGTGAAAATAAGTTTTCCTTCATTTCATTTTTCCCTTATCTCTTATTGTGTTGGGTTCTGTGTAATGATTTCACTATCTACTTGGATGTGACGGCAAGTATGTCTCTTACAGGGAAGGCAACATGGAAGAATCAGCCATTCGAGTAGGCTTTGTCACATACAACAAAGTATTACACTTCTATAACGTGAAGAGCTCTCTGGCACAGCCACAAATGATGGTTGTCTCGGATGTGGCAGATATGTTTGTGCCACTCCTTGATGGTTTTCTGGTGAACATGAATGAGTCCAGGACAGTTATTGCCAGGTAATAGGAATTGATTTACAGTGTGTGTAGTAAACTTCTTGTTTGGTAGATTCAAGTGTTGCATCCTTATTTGGCATGTTATTCACCTAGAAGTCACTCCATGTATTTTAACTTCCTACACTCTTTGAGATTAAGCTGGCAAAGTAGGATGGGAAAACTCATGGGGTAAGGGTGTATTTGGCTCGTAGTCCAGCTTGGCAGAGGGTATATATAAGGGGATTTAGTGCAGAAGGGCATTTCTGTGGAAAAAAACAAAGCACAACTAGAATGATGCACAGTGAAAGTCGTAAGAATATTGAATCGCTGTCTGTAAGGCGACTGCCTAAATAACTGTAAACTGAAACAACAGTGGTGTCTAATTTTGGTTCTGTGGAGAAAATTGAATGAGTGGGATAGAGAAGATAAAACCTAGAAGGAAAGAAACAGAAATTAGCAAAGTTTTGGCAAACTATTTAACATGATACTTGAACTGTAATTAAACTATGGTGTGTAGCTAACTACAGGTTTTTTAAAGAAATTTTCTAGCCTGTTTTGTAGTGCATTAACAAGCTTATATACAAAACTGTGGATCAAACGTATTAATCTTTGAATAGTACACAGAATGCTTGTCAGAGGCCAAGAGTCACTAGCCTTTCCTAAGAGTTTACTTACCAATATATATTGGAAGAGCAGGAATACAGAAGAACTATTGGAGTAGGCATCAGTTGAGGCTATACAGCAAGCACTGAGGATATGGATGAGAGAAGCCAATGAAGAATGACAAAGTATCATTTTTTTCCACAAATAAATGATGAGATGCCAAATACTGTACAAAAATTATTCAGATTTACGTTAGGGACTTATGTTTAAATCACATCAATCTCATAGGTCATCAACTGCAACTGTGTGGCTTTTTCAGTTAAATGGAATCTTAAATTCCTCCTTTTTCTTGTTCTTTGCTAGTTTGCTGGATCAGATTCCAGAAATGTTTGCAGACACAAGAGAAACAGAAACTGTTTTTGCACCTGTGATTCAGGCAGGGCTGGAGGCACTGAAGGTTAGTAAATGCATTGTCATGGCAAATGGTTTTCATTCTGAGTTCTCCGAAGTTCATATTCTCCTAACACACACTAAGATGACAATTCTAAAGCTTTTTGTAACTCTCCTTGTGGTAGATGTGCTACATGTGCAACATTTTGTGTTCAAAAAACGGGTAGATGTGGCACTTCGGGATATGGTTTAGTCTAGTCTACCCTTGATTGGTTTAGGTGGGCTTGGTAGTGTAGGTTAATGGTTGGACCGGATGATCTTAAAGGTCTTTTCCAACCTAGACGATTCTATGATTCTATGTAGGGAGTACTTGGCTCATTCTTCAAGAGCATGTACCTCTGGTTCTATGTAGCTAGCTATCTGTTCTCTAACCAATTCTTTTTTAATAATTTTTGCTCAAAATATAGGACATGTGGCTTGATCTCAGTTACCTGGCTGGGTTTTGCTTTGAACAGTTTATAGAACCTACCAAAAAAAAAAAAAAGACCCCCCCCCAACATTAAAACCAAGTGCTGAAGTCTGTCATGTCTCATCGAGGAGTTGTGTAACTTGGTGTCTTTCTAATCCTGTGCTTAAAGCTCTGGTATAATCTTAAATAAAAGGAGACAATGTGACCTGTTGAAGTTGCCTGCAACAATGTGCTAACCTTTCCTAAAGTTCTTCCATTCCAGTACTTCATCCAGATAATTACATGCATGATCTCACTCTGACTTGTATATACTGATCAAATTGATTGCCTGTATGGTTCCATCCAAAGCTGTTCATATAGCTCTGTTTGTCTGTCATGGAAGTCCTTAGAAGTCTCTCTCAAACTCAGTTTTCATGACAATTGTTCAATCAAGAAATAATATCAATTACTAATTGATTGTTTACATACTGCATGTGTCAGAGAAAATAACCTACTAAACCTTGGCTAGTGTTGACATAGGTTGATTTAAAATTAATGCTCTGTTGAAGCTTAGATTACAAAATCTTTTGCCATTTCTGTGACTCTCTTCCTTTTCCACAAACTCAGTAGCTACAAATCAGAGAAGAAAGCGATCTAACATGTTTGTGCAAAACCTTTTGTGGCTAGTCCTGCTTACTGCTCTGTGTCTCCTTGGAGCCACTCCTTTTCTCCCTGCCATGGAAGTAGCACAGGTCCAGTAGAACTGGAAGTTGCTTTTCTGTAACTGCCCAGTAAGCTGTGCTCCCTGTGTTGGATACCACTGAAGTAACCAAGTGATCACTGAGCCTGCGTGTCTGATATAGTGCCTTCCTGACATGAAGTGAAGTAATAAGGATGTTTGAACGCTTGTTCCTGAATCTCAGTTTCCCTTAAAATTCTTATAAGTGTTTCTAACCTGTGCTTTTGCACTCTCTCCTGCAGGCAGCTGAGTGTGCTGGCAAGCTCTTCATTTTCCACACCTCTCTGCCCATCGCAGAGGCCCCAGGGAAGTTAAAGAACAGGGATGATAAGAAACTGATCAACACAGATAAGGAGAAGGTAATAATGACTTGCATGATGCTTAATTACAGTCTATATTATACCTTTTATGAGATAAAATAACTCTGAAGCAACATTAAAAAAAATTACAGGGGTAGCATGTAATGTAACCATCCCAGCTAGTATCTTTTAACATTGCACCTTTATGTTCTGTTCTCAAGCAGAGCTGTGTAGACTTGACATCATAAGGACAGCTCTGGTATGAGAGCAAGAAGAGATAGATCTAGATTCTTATACAGGATAAAAAACCCATAGTTGGGTTAAAGTAAATGTGCTGAACTTACAAATAAAGCAAGATGTGTAGTAACTTTCGTAATATTCAACAGTTCTTCAAAGGCAGGGTCAGGAAGAATTTACATGATTGTAATTTCCCTGAAGAAAGACTTAAAGTATAAAAGTGTATTGACTGGGATTATAAACTGGATCTCACTTTCCTTTTCTTACCACAAAATTCTGATCTCATGTCTGACTTCCTTTCTTAGACATTGTTTCAGCCACAGACAAGCTTTTACAACAACTTGGCCAAGGACTGTGTGGCCCAGGGCTGCTGTGTGGATCTGTTCCTATTTCCAAACCAGTATTTGGATGTGGCGACACTGGGTGTAGTAACTTACCAGACAGGAGGCTCCATTTATAAGTATGCGTATTTCCAGGTAAGAGTGACATTGACTCAGACTGGTATTTTCTCTAAATAAGAATTATTGTTTAGTTAAGAGTTCTTTTTCATAGTGTGAACCATAGTGAACAAGTACTTCTTTGGAAATAAATTGCTACTTAAATTTCAAGATTTGCACCAAAATTACTTTGTTAGCTTTATGTCTTTACACAAAATATCTCTGTTAATAACAAAAACAACAAGAAAAGCTGTGCTGTTACCTTCTAGCACAGTATTTTATTAGCAAGTGTCGTGGTTTAGCCCCAGCCAGCAACTAAGCACCACGCAGCCGCTCGCTCACTTCCCCTACCCCAATGGAATGGGGGAGAGACTGGAGGAGTAAGAGTGAGAAACACTCCTGGGTTGAAATAAGAACAGTTTAATAATTGAAATAAAGTAAAATAGTAATGATAATAATAACAATATAATAATGATGATAATAATAATATACAAAGCAAGTGATCCACAATGCAATTGCTTACCACCCGCCGACCGATACCCAGACCGTTCCTGAGCAGCAATCGCTGCTCCCTGACCAACCCCAGTTTATATACTGAGCATGACGCCATATGGTATGGAATAGCCCTTTGGGCAGTTTGGATCAACTATTCTGGCTGTGCCCCCTCCCAGTTTCTTGTGTACCTGGCAGAGCATGGGAAGCTGAAAAGTCCTTGACTAGCATAAGCAGTACTTAGCAACAACTAAAACCATCAGTGTGTTATCAACATTCTTCTCCTACTAAATCCAAAACACAGCACTATGCCTGCTACTAGGAAGAAAATTAACTCTATCCCAGCCGAAACCAGGACAGCAAGGCACTGGGCCCTGTATTATGGGTGATTTTTAGAACAAGACTGCGGGAGGTAGTATCTGGTTTAAAATTACTTTATGGAGCAGCTCTGATTTATGGGAATATGAAACTTGAATTGTCACTTGTGTTCTAGCTGGAGACAGACCAGGATAGGTTCCTGAATGACTTGAGAAGAGATGTCCAGAAAGAAGTGGGATTTGATGCTGTAATGAGAGTGCGCACAAGCACAGGTGGGTGTTAGCATGAATGAGTCTTAATAAACTGACCACTTCAAGCATGTCATATGGGAAGTAACAGATTTTCCCCTAATTTAAAACACCTTGAGACTAGGCTCTGCAAAAAGCTCTGCTAAAGCTTTGAAATTCTAAGACTTTTGTTGAGACTGAGCAAAGATCCCTGCTGAAATCTATCAAGATAACTTAGTGTCACCGATGACAAGATTTTCAGGGCTCCAAAGACTGGCTGTCTCGGTATTCTGTTGAAAATTGTAGTTCATGTTGGTTTTTTTTCTTTTTTAGGTATTCGAGCAACTGACTTTTTTGGAGCTTTCTATATGAGCAACACAACTGATGTAGAGATGGCAGGTTTGGACTGTGATAAAACAATCACAGTGGAATTCAAGCACGATGACAAACTGAGTGAAGACAGCGGTGCACTCCTTCAGGTGAGGGGGTAGGCTTTCTAGGAGAAAGAAGTCAGTTGACAATTTAGAATTGTCAACAAAACTGTGTCAAGGGGGAACCATATCTCAACTGGGGAGAGTGCCAGTTGCAGAAGAGGATGAGGTTGCTCTGAACTGAATTAGTAGACACTCCTTCAAGGAACTGTTCATTCTTTCTTTCTGCCCCTTACTGTACCCTTACCCTTTCAGCATACTTGTTCTCAGGGTGACCTAGACTGCTTGAAAGTACAATCTGTTTTCCAAGACCAGTTCCCTTAATACAAGCTGCTAACATTGCTGCTTGTTATCTTTCATTGACCCTGCTTCTTAGCATATGCTTTTAGCTTATTGTGCAAGACTTTACATAATTGTCTTATTTCTTCAGGCATCTGAGTCCTAGTTTTTAATGAAGTATATTCAAACCCTGCCTTTCTTATTGTAGCAGGACTTCATTTCTCTATATTCTGGCATTTTTGTCTCCTACAGTGTGCTCTGTTATACACAAGTTGTGCAGGACAGCGAAGACTCCGCATTCACAACCTCTCCTTAAACTGTTGCACGCAGCTTGCTGACCTCTATCGAAACTGTGAGACAGACACGCTCATCAATTACTTGGCTAAATATGGTAAGGGTAAATATGGTAACAAGAATTGCAACCTTTAACTGCTCTTAAAATGCCTGTTGTTATCCAATGACACCTGTTTATTCTCTTTGCATCAAATGTCAGGTGGCAATCCTGATACTTCAGTCATTTATGGGAAAGAGCATAAAGCTGTGATGATAGTGTTATTGCTTAGCATGAGTGGTACAGATAGAGGGTGTAGGCTTATCCTTCATACATATTCTTGTCTAATTTTTTTTAATAGAGACTTGTATTACAGCTGTCTGAATTCATCCTTGTATTTATTTTTGGACTGGTTTAGTTTGTTCTTTAACTGTTCCAGAATTTTGCTCCAGCAATAGGAAATGGTGTCCCTTGCTCACAGATCTGGGTTAAATATCATACTTTTATGCATTGTACCCTATTTACCCTTCCTAGTTGGCAGTAAAAGCCTACAAATCCAGCAGAGATTGAGTTCTGTGTATCACCATTAAAATGTAAACCAGTCTGTTTTCAGTCCATTAAAGAAAGATGGCCAGGCTATAAAAGGAGTTTTTATAGTAACCCATGCTTTCAAGTATGACTAAGTGTATTTTAAAGTACATGGGAGAGAGAGAGTTGAAGAATATGTAATAAAACAGAGTAAATGAGCTTCTTTAGATCTTCAATAGGAATGTATCATCTCTTTCCCACAAGTTTGAAGGGGAGGGGAAAAAAGACTTTCATAAACAATAGTTGTTTAGATTTACTTCGTGGAAGTAGTGTTGGGTTTTTTACTGTTCATGAGCAATCACTTGAGAGCCATCCATTTCTTTCCTCTATCTGTGCAGCATATCGTGGAGTTCTGGGTAGTCCAGTAAAGACTGTACGAGATGCACTGATCAACCAGTGTGCCCAGATCCTAGCTTGCTATCGAAAGAACTGTGCTAGTCCCTCTTCTGCTGGCCAGGTAAACTCCGGTGCTTTCACTTGAATTGCAGGCTTGGGTATTGAAAGGTGCTGAGAGCTTCTTCCTATGTAACCTACTCAAAAAAAAAAAAAAAAAAAAAAAAAAAAA